TCACTGGCTATCCTGTCACACCAACTAAGCTTTTGACATCTACGATCACCACCTGTGTAGCAGCATTCCTTGACACACTCTTTGGAATTTGTTGATCTTCCATTCTAATATGTCCCTAACAAAAAAGCCACTGAAACCAAACCAATGCTGATAGACGTGGTTGCTAGCTTTGGCTTGGAACATCCTCATTTCTAATCTTGTCCTGCCACTCATTATAAAGCAGTGGACAAAGACATGAATCAAAAACATTAATCTGATGTTCTTCCAGCTTTCCTCATCACCCATATTTCATTGCCATAAAACAGAGTTGGTGTAACTGTGGTTCTACAGACCCACAGCTTTGCAGCAATCTTGACATCACAATGTCTCAATAGAGGTCACTGAAGGGCCGAAACACAGCAGCAACTGCTGCTGCTATACAAGCATCTATATCTTTCAAGCATCCTCCAGCACTATCTATGACACTGTGCCCAAATATCTGACAGCTGCCACCTGCTTGATGTTCTGTCCAGAAAGGTTAATATTGAGCTGGTTGTAATATGGAAGAGGCTGCCTGATAATGGCCAGGGACTTAGTTTTATCTGGATTAATAACCAAACCAATGCATGATGCTTCTTGCCTGACCAGACTGGCCATAAACTGCAGCAATTTACCAAACTGAGCCAAAAAGACAAGGTCATTCAAGATCTCAAAGCAAACTGGCATTCAGCTCACTTCCAACTGCCCCCTCAAAACTTATCCATCAATCCATCAACACTAATATTGAACAATGATGACAAAACAAAGCCTTGCCACACTCCTATGGGGATAGGAAACCCAACTGACTCAAATGCAGCTTTCTGTTCCATTATAAAGCTCGTCTATCAATGAAGTTATCTTCCCAGGAACGCTTTTAGAATATCTATGCAGCAATAAAAAACCTGTGGCACTAAGGCTCAGAGGCCAGACTGTGGGGCTAAAATATACAACGCAGATGTCTAGGGTCAAGCTGGAATCCAGGCTCTGAGACCTACCCCCTTCATGGGGTTTCAGAGTCCAGGCTCTAACTCAACCCTAAACATCTACAACTCTGCAATTTTTAGCCCCGCAGACTGAGCCAGCTGACCTAGGCCAGCCATGGCTATGCTGTGGGTCTTTTATTGCACTGTAAATGTACCTCAAGTCTAATCAGATCCCAAACAGATCTCCTGGACATTACAAACAGACCCAGCTTCTTTGCGTCCTGCTCAAAGGAGGCACAATATCAAAGGAAGTTCCTAGACCATAGGAAGGTCTAACTCCAACAAGCATATAGCTTACTAAATTGCCTGATTGTATCTTAAGTGCATATCCCTAACAAGATAGAGCACATTAAGATGTAAATTCTTGTCTGCACATGACTGCACATTTTAGGGCATACAGTAAGTAATCTAGAGAAAGGAATGTCTGGACCATCTTAATTTCTTTAACATTCTCCTCCTCAGGCATACTCATTCCTTACACACACACAATGAATTGTTTCCCTGGCTACTGTTATTGCGGAGCATGACCAGATCATTGTTTATGTTCCCACAATCATAACCTAGGGGATGAGATTTCTCCTTCCTTCCTTGTGCACCCAAAACAAAAGCAAAAACCCCCATGTTTTCACCTGTTCATTACTTTACACTTTCTTTTACTCAGACCAGGTCTACACTAGAAAGAGTTTGCTGCTATAGCTATACTGGCAAACCCTCCTAGTGTAGATGCAGCTTATGCCATCAAAAATGTGATTTTGTCAATATAACTTTTACAGATTCAGTAAGGTATACTGGCAAAAGCACTTTATGTTGGTATAATTACACTTAGAATCATAGGGATAGAAGGGACTGCAAGAGTCATCTAGTCTAACCCCTTGCCAAAATGCAGGATTTATTGTGTCTACACCATCCAAGACATCCTTTTGAAAACCTCCAGTGAAGCAGCTTCCACAACCTCCTGAGGCAGTCTGTTCCATTGTCTTACTGTTCTTACACTTAGGAAGTTTTTCCTGAGATTTTATCTAAATCTGCTATGCTGTAGTTTGAACCCATTGCCTCTTGTCCTGCCCTCTGTGGCAAAAGAGAACAACTTTTCTCCATCTTTTTTATGGCAGCCTTTCAAGTATCTGAAGACTACTATCATATCCCCCTTAATCTCCTCTTTTCCAAACTAGCCTTCAGCCTTTGCTCATATGCCTTGCATTTCATCCCTTTAATCATCTTTATCGCTGGCCTCTGGATCCTTTCCAGTTTCTCTACATCCTTTCTATACACTGGTGACCAACATTGGACACCGTACTCCAGCTGAGGCCTAACCAGTGCCGAGTAGAGTGGTACAGTACTATCACCTGCCATGACTTGCATGCTATGCATCTATTAATGCAACCTAAAATTGCATTTGCTTGTTTTGCAACAGTATTACATTGCTGACTCATGTTGAGATTGTGATCCACCACAACTCCCAGATCCTTCTCAACAGTGCTGCTGCCAAGCCAGTTTTCCCCCATTCTGTATTTGTGTATTTGTTTTTTTGTCCCTAAGCGTAGCACTTTACATTTGTCTTTGTTGAATTTCATTTTGTTGTCTATAGGCCAGTTCTCCAATTTATCAAGATCCCTCTGAATTTTAGCTCTATCGTCTAAAGTATTGGCAAATCACCCCCCAGTTTTGTGTCATCTGCAAACTTGATCAGCATGCTCTCTATACCTACATCCAGATAACCAATAAAGGTGTTAAACAACACCAGGCCCAAAATAGATCCCTGTGGAACCCCACTTGAGACCTCTCTCCAATCTGACGTTATTCCATTAATAGTTACTCTTTGTTTGTGGTTGTTTAACCAATTATGTATCCACTTAATGGTACTTCTGTCAAGCCCACATTTCTCCACTTACACTAGGGATTTTCCCAGTATAGAAATGTTGCCCCATCTCCCCAAATCACTTCCGTACCAGACATTGCTATACTTGCAAAAGTCTTGAGTGTAGACCTGGCCTTAGTAGGTTTACGCAGATTCACGTTCATTTAGACTGTCACAAAAGTTCATTATACCTTTGAATTCTTCACATTATCCTCCTTTTACACAAAGCAACACATTGCAGTTCTAATACTGATCTTGGCAAAAGCAATAATTCAATTGTAAAAACGTAGGCACAGTGAGTCTAAAACACTGTTATTCCCACATAGCCGATTTAAGAAACAGAACAGGATAACTAGATTAATTTCTCTTAAAACAACAATTCCTGTATGAATTCTACACAGATTTAAGGTTTCAAACTATAAAAGCTAATGTTAGGGGGCCAATTTATATAACAAAACAGAATTTGGCCATGTGTTTTTGGAATACATTATAGGTAGTAATGAAAAACACATTTATTCTCATAAATGAGGGACAAGGAGTACAAAACTCACCTATGATTCTGACTATTGCTCTTGTCCATACATTAACTTTTTCTGTTTGTGAAATATCTCATTAGTTACTATCTAGAATTCATAACGAGATATCATCAAAACACAGTAAAAGACTAGATTCAGCAAGATGACTGCTCAATTGTGGTCTCCCTCATAGATCTGCTATTTTAACACACAAGAATTCTGTTGAAATTTATCATTTGCATAGCATCTAGGAACCCAAATTAAGGATCAGCACCCCATTTTCATAGAATATCAGGGTTGGAAGGGACCTCAGGAGGTCATCTAGTCCAACCCCCCCTGCTCAAAGCAGAACCAATCCCCCCAGACAGATTTTTGCCCCAGATCCCTAAATGGCCCCCTCAAGGATTGAACTCACAACCCTGGGTTTAGCAGGCCAATGCTCAAACCACTGAGCTATCCCTCCCCCTTTTTTTTGTTAGCCTTGTTTTGTGTAATAAAGGACAGCTGCAAACAACGAGGGCTCCAACCTCAGTAATAAGTTTACTCGGGTTATGTCTACACTTCAGCTGCACAGTTACAGCATGGCAGCCATGCTGCTGTAGTGCCATAGTTTAAATGCTTCCTACATCAACGGAAGGGGTTTTTCTATCAATGCAGTTAATCCACGTCTCCGAAAGGCAATAGCTAGGTCAACAGAAGTCTTAGGCCATACCTATACTATGGGCACAGGCCTGCTGACAGCAATTCCGGGCCCCAGGGCCAGGGCCATCCTGAGGGGAAAGAGGGTGGAGGGCCTGGGGCGGAAGTGACGAATCCATCACTTCTGGGACTGCCTGTCACTTACAGGACAGACTGCACTGGCCAATTGCGCCAGCCCCCGGGGCCTCCCAAGCACAGGGCCCGAAGCGGTCGGGCATGCCTAGGAGCCCTGCGGCTTGCTCAGGCAATTTAAAAGGGCCTGGGGGCTCCCGGCTGCCGCTACTGCGACAGCAGCGGTGGCCGGGGGCCCCTGGGCAATTGCCCCCCCCGTCGGCAGACGTGTATGGGCACTATGCCTCTATAGCATAGATGCTTCCTACATCGACAGAAGGGTTTTTCCATTTATATAGGTAATCCACCTTCCCATGCAGCAGTTTGGTTGAGTGAAGAATTTTTCCATTGACCTAGCCAGGTCTACAATGGGGGGCTTAAGTTGGCTTAACTAAGGCATTCAGGAGTGTGAATTTTTCACACCCCTGAGCAACCCAGTTAGGTTGATCCAAATTTTAAGTGTAGACCAGTGACAGTTCTCTGTTGATACACGAGACTGAAAAGAATCCACTCTTCCAGACTTCTGTGTGGTCCTGGCTGCAGGGCTTACAGTAGTAAAAAAAAAAAAAAAAAAAAAAAACCTTACTTTTTAAATAACTAAGTAAGCAAACAATCTACCTTCCCTCCCAAATATACCTATTGTCTTCACAACAGACTCTTCTGTTCTGCCCATCTGTTCCTAACACTTTATTCTGGATTCTTAAATAGTATTGCTAGCTTTTACCTATAAATGCTTCTACACACTATAGGACCTTTCACCCCAGTGAGTATCCAGGATAATGCATATATATGGTGAATTTAAGAATGAAAATTAACCTGGAGGACTGAGATACTGAAGAGCCTCTGTGTGTTCCAGGGCCTGTAAGAATTCCATCAGTTCCAGCACAGTGCAACCCCTTTCACCCAGTAGTCTCAGGAGACTCCAACTGGGGCTTCCTTCTGGCTCCAGTACTTTGAGAGAACATTGTTCCAACTCCAGAGAACTGCAAAAATTAAAATAAAACAAATATATTAAGTGCATTTGTATGCATGCCAAGTGATCAATTAAAAATGGAGAAAGAGAAACCTGATCTCTGTACTACACTCCTACCTAATTTTGCCCCCGATGAGATGGCCTTGTAAGGAAATATTGATAAAACTGAATATATGAAAGTAAATATTAATTTTTTCAGAGGAAATTACTGATAGGAATCTGGTGTTCATTACTACAAATACAAGATCTTCCTAATGTACACTTCTGACTCCCATTAAGCGGTGGATTTACATATATAATCTAGCAGAGATTATTCCACTAATGTGAGGTATGTTCCCAGTTCTATATTATATTGTTTCCTGGAAGTATTTAAAGTATCTTACACATATGCAGCATCTCAGGTCAAAAGGATTTCAAAACACATGACAACTGTATACAAATCATACACCACCACTTTAATTAAGCTGCTTGAAATGAAGGTGAACTGCATGCCACACAAAGGATATTTGCGTGAATGGCAATTCTACCCAATACACTGGGTAGACTCCTACACTTGTAGGCAGGACTTCTCTTTTCACAATCTCTTCTGAAAAACCAAATACCTTTGCAAAAACCTTTCCGTTTACAGTATGCCTCCTTCAGAAGCAATAAACAATGAGTCACCAATAGCAGGATTTAAACTGTGGTTCCAGGAAGACACTATTTCAGATATGATGCTTTCATCACTGATGTACTGCTATAGTTTAATAAAGATTAAATATTAGACACTTGCCTAGTGGGTCTTGCCCACATGCTCAGGATCTAACTGATCACCATATTTGGGTCAGAAGGAATTTTCCCCCAGGTCAGATTGGCGGAGACCATGGGGGGGTCTGAGGGTTTGCCTTCCTCTGCAGCATGGGGCATGGGTCACTTGGAGGTTTAAACTAGTGCAAATGGTGAATGCTCTGTAACTTTAAGTTTTTAAACCATGATTTGAGGACTTCAGTCACTCAACCAGAGGTTAGGGGTCTATTTCAGGAGTGGGTAAGGTTCTGTGGCCTGCAATGTGCAGAAGGTCAGACTAGATGATCACGAAGGTCCCTTCTGCCCTTAAACTCGATGAATCTACACTTCATTGCCAATCTGTAATTCCAGATGTAGAGATCCATGCATTAAAACTTCAGTCTTAAGCTTTCAGAGCCACTTCTAATCACAGAAGTGAGTATTATAACCTTTTCTGGATAGTCTCAAAATGTGAAGAATTAGGAGAGGATCAAAGTTTTGGAAATACATGAAGTCATATGTCACCACAAGTAAGGTCTGTTTAGAACCCTTTTATTTAATTACCGTGTACTTGCTACAGAATAATTGATAAGGTTGTGATGGGAAAAGGTTTTTATACTCTTGGGGAAAAAAAGACACTAATGTAATGTAAGATTCAATAAACTTCAGTAGCAGAGGAGCGTGAAGACATCCTGGCAGGAAGAATACAAAGCAGACCAATTTGTACCCATATATTTTTTCCCTTGCAACAGTTTTCATGTTTGTCTTCCTGTTGTCTCTGTAAGAACAGTAGATATACCACTTCAGACTGTAGTGTTACTTATTCTGCAAAGCAGTTACATCATTAAACTTCTTTGTCAAACTGCCAAGAGAATAATTCATCTACCTTTCAGAATAAGAACAGTGGGCATTTTAGCCACAAGCATGAAACCAATAAGACAGTGCATCCCATCACAACAGATCATCACCACATGTTGCATACAGCAAATCTGTTGCTCACGTGGTCCGCTTGCCCCAAGTGGCTTATGTCTCTGTGTCAAGCCTTGCATGGATCCTTAAATTTGTTCCCTGTAGCAGCTGCCCACCCCTGCACTCAGCTAGGAACCTACTGAGAATCTGCACCTGTCACTGCTAAAGCACCCCAAGTGTGCATGCCAAGCACTCCTTGCCTGAGCATTCACCAGAGCATATTGTGGCTTCCTCACTACATGCTCCAAAGTCTCTTCCTTGAGGTGACATTGCCCCAGCAACAGCTCTCCCACTGCTTGTGCCAGGGCCCCCAGCCATACCCTCACCTGACCCTCCTGTGGCTTTCCCACTGCCTGTGCTAGGGAACCCAGCCACACCTTCACCTAACACCCCAGGGCTTTCCCACTGCCTGTGCCAGGACCCCCAGCCACCTGTCATAAACATACAGTTAAGGGTAGCATAAAATCCCTCTTTACCCTGTAAAGGGTTAATTCCTTTTTTACCTGTAAAGGGTTAAGAAGCTCAGATAACCTGGTTGACTCCTGACCAAAAGGACCAATAAGGGGAGAAGATACTTTCAAATCTGTGGGGGAAGGTTTTGGTCTGTCTCTCTCAGAGCCAGCCAGGAAAAAATACATCTCCCTAAACTATATATGAACTAAGCATCTAGTCTTGCAGAAATAGTAAGTAATAGCAGAAAAGAAATGCGTTAGATTATCTTTTGTTTTAGCTTGTGAATTTTCCCTGTGCTAAGAGGTAGATTTATCCCTGTTTTTGTAAATTTAAGGTTTTGCCTAGAGGGGAAATCCCCTGTGTTCTTGAGTCTTTTGTTATTCTGTAAAGTACTTACCATCCTGATTTTACAGAGGTGATTCTTTTACCTTTTCTTTAATTAAAATTCTTCTTTTAAGAACCTGATTGATTTTTCATTGTTCTTAAGATCCAAGGGTTTGGGTCTGTGTTCACCTGTACCAATTGGTGAGGATATTATTCTCAAGCCTCCCCAGGAAAGGGGGTGTAGGGGCTTGGAGCCCTACCTTCCCCAAATATCCCCCCAAGTGGCCCTCCCTGACTGTTTGTTTAAATCACTTGGTGGTGGTGGCAGCGATGCTAAGACAAGGAAGCAAATTTGTGCCTTGGAGAAGTTTTAACCTAATTTGGTAAAAATAAGCTTAGGGGGTCTTTCATGAGGGTCCCCACATCTGTACCCCAGAGTTCAGAGTGGGGAAGGAACCCTGACACACACTCTCACCTGACCCCCGTGGGCGCTCCCCTCCCTGTGCAGAGTCCTGCACTTAGGACAGAAGAATCCCATTCACTGTTACAGACTAGGGACCGAATGGCTAGGAAGCAGTTCTGCAGAAAAGGACCTAGGAGTTACAGTGGACGAGAAGCTGGATACGAGTCAACAGTGTGCCCTTGTTGCCAAGAAGGCTAATGGCATTTTGGGCTATATAAGTAGGGGCATTGCCAGCAGATCAAGGGACGTGATCGTTCCCCTCTATTCGACACTGGTGAGGCCTCATCTGGAGTACTGTGTCCAATTTGGGGCCCCACACTACAGGGAGGATGTGGAAAAATTGGAAAGAGTCCAGCAGAGGGCAACAAAAATGATTAGGGGGCTGGAGCACATGACTTATGAGGAGAGGCTGAGGGAACTGGGATTGTTGAGTCTGCAGAAGAGAAGAATGAGGGGGGATTTGATAGCTGCTTTCAACTACCTAAAAGGAGGTTCCAAAGAGTATGGATCTAAACTGTTCTCAGTGGTACCAGATGACAGAACAAGGAGTAATGGTCTCAAGTGGCAATGGGGGAGGTCTAGGTTGGATATTAGGAAAAACTTTTTCACTAGGAGGGTGGTGAAGCACTGGAATGGGATTACCTCGGGAGGTGGTGGAATCGCCTTCCTTAGAGGTTTTTAAGGTCAGGCACAAAGCCCTGGCTGGGATGATTTTGTTGGGGATTGGTCCTGCTTTGAGCAGGGGGTTGGACTAGATGACCTCCTGAGGTCCCTTCCAACCCTGATGTTCTATGATTCTATGACCCCCCAGCCACAGCCTCACCTGACCCCCTCCCCTCCCTATGCCCGGCTCCCCCCGCTGCTCGTTTCACCTGAGCCTGCCCCATGTGCCTCTCCCCCGCCCGGCGCCAGACCCACTGTCCCGACTCGCCCGGGCTCCCCAGCCCCAGGCACCCCACCGCTCCTGCCCCCGGGGCTGCCCTCACCTCAGCTTGACTCTGCCGTGGCTCCCGGCTCGCTGCGCCAAGTCTCTCCAGCCCCTGCCCGGAGCTGCGCGGTCCAGCACGCCACTGAGCCGCCGGAGCAGCGGCTCCCCGAGCCGGTTAATGGGCAGCGACCCCGGCGGGGCCGCGGGCGAGACCGACATAGTGGGGAGCAGAGACCCCTGCGAGCCGCCCCAGGAGCGCTTTGAAACCTCCCCCGCGCCTCAAGCTCCGGGAACGGAGCGGAGGCGGCGCCTACACCCGGAAGGAGCGAGCCGGGGATTCCCGCCCCAGCAACAACCCGCCGGGCGGGCAGGGAGCGGCTGGGTCTCCTCTGTCCCCGCCCGCAGCGACGCCCCCGTTCCCTGGGCCAGCCCCTCTCCTCACTTAAACCTGCCCGGGCTGAGGCTCCTCTTTCCGTCCCTTCGGCTCTGTGCCCCAGCCTAACCAGACTCCCACAGACCTTGGCGCCCCCATATCGGTGCCAGCCCTTCCCAATGCTGCCCCTATGAGAGTCTGATCCTACCATGGTTCTCCCTGGTGCCTCCCCCGCCACCCCTTCATCTCACCTCAGCTTGACTGTGCTGTTCCCTCCACTCCCTATGTCAGCCCTGCCTCAGCACTTGCCCCCATCTCCCTTTCCCTGCATGACTACCTGGTCTCTGTGCCAGCCCCCCAAGCCCCCTTATGTGAGCCTCACCCGGCTGTGCCTCCCACATATACTGGGCTAGCTCCCCACAGCCTAACCATGCCATGACTGCCCCACTCTTTCAACCTGTCCTGGCCTGTCCCTTACTAAAGCATCACCCTGCTACAGCTCTCCCACAACCACTCACCTCAGTTCAGCCAGACCCTGGAATGGCTCCCCACTCCCTGTACCAGTCCATTTCACCTCAGCCTGAGCCTGCCATGGGGCCTTGCTCACGTCTCCATATTCCAGCCCCTCTCAGTACTACACAGGCCAGCAAGTTGCTAAATTGTTGTAGTAGCTAATTAGTAGTCAGAGACCCTCCCCCCAGATGGAGTATGGATCATTAGACTGGTAGTTGGGAAGGCCTGGCATCCCTCAGGTCAAGCTCCAGGGAGAGCTTTGAAACTCCCATACTCTACCAACAGGGAACAGTACCGACATCTGGGTGAAACATACATAAATATGTATTTGTAAGTTTTTTGATTCTAGAAACATTAGGCTGTAATTTCAATCTGTGAATGAAAACTTCAGCTGTTCTAACAAGTTAAAGGGAAGTAATGAAACCATCAAGGTTTTTGTTATGCTCATTAGGAAACAACAAAAGCCTAGAAGCAAATGTTGGGGGTGGGAGGCAGGCACAGATGCATCTATGTCCCCATTCCTGCTCTGCTTAGGCTTGCTGCAAATAGAAGCAGCTACTGGCCTTGCCCTTTGTCATGATGAAGTTGACGGTATCTAGACATGGGGCAAGGCTTTGGTATGAAAAACAAAACAGAAAAGGGAGAGTCAACCCGGTCTTTAAAACAGGCAAAATTAGCTTTATATTTCAGACAATAAACCATTTACACTACTTGGGCCTCACTTTTATGACAGGTGACTAGCAGTTAAACATGAGTTTAGCCACACTTTAAGTTGAATTCTGGATGCCGGGGAGACCCACTGGCAGAGGCTGCCCAGAGGATGCGTATCAATATATATCAATGTTATATATGCCATCATGTGCCAACAATGCCCCTCTGCTATGTACATTGGCCAAACTGGACAGTCACTACGTAAAAGGATAAATGGACACAAGTCAGATATCAGGAATGGCAATATACAAAAACCTGTAGGAGAACACTTCAATCTCCCTGGCCACACAATAGCAGATGTAAAGGTAGCCATCTTACAGCAAAAAAACTTCAGGACCAGACTCCAAAGAAAAACTGCTGAGCTTCAGTTCATATGCAAATGTGACACCATCAGATCAGGATTAAACAAAGACTTTGAATGGCTAGCCAACTACAAAAACAGTTTCTCCTCCCTTGGTGTTCACACCTCAACTGCTAGCAGAGGACCTCACCCTCCCTAATTGAATTAACCTCATTATCTCCAGACAGATTCTTGCCTGCATATTTATACCTGCCTCTGGAAATTTCCATTACATGCGTCTGACGAAGTGGGTATTCACCCACGAAAGCTTATGCTCCAATACATCTGTTAGTCTTAAAGGTGCCACAGGACTCTCTGTTGCTCGTATCAATACAGATTGCCTGTCATTTGTTTCAATCACTTAAAAATAAATTCTCTGTATTTTACCATCTATTTCAATCAATCGCCAAGTGTTCAAACTTGGGTGCCTCAAGTTAGTCACCTAAATAAGTAGCCTGATTTTCAAAGATCCCTAGCAGCACCTGAAGCTCCCATTGACTTTAATTGGTATTCAGCACCTATGAAAATCAGGCCACCTATGAGGTGCCTAAATGTGTAGTTAGATCGCTAACTGTAGGCACCCAAATTGGATGATTTTAGCCAACGCCGTGTACTCTGATTCTTATTTGTTCACATTTTGTTTTCCTTGAAAACAAACCTGAAAGCAAGATAATTGAATTGTTAAATAGCAATACTTTATTCTTCAATATTACTTTCTATCTCAGGAGCGCAATGTGGTTTATAAGCCACATGGCACATCTTTTTAAACCAATGTGACATGTTAAACTGAGGCAAAGACATGACAAGTGGCTTGACTTGCTGGTGACATGTAATCATCTACCGGTAAAGTCAGGAATAGAACATAGGAGCCTTCCCAGTTATGTGCTGTAACCAAGAGAGACAGTTGAGTATACCCAGCACCTTTACTCCCCTGAAAACCAAGCCACTTTTACTTAGATGCCTAAATATATGTTTACAGAGATTCTCAAAGGCACAAATGGCAACTAAGTGGCTAACTCCCAATTATTGTCAATGGGAGATAGGGCCCTAATTGACATTTGTTCCTTTGAAAACCTCCCCTTAGGATGTCTAACTTCAAACGCCAACACTGGGAATTTTTTGCATAAGGTGTCCTCAGTTAAAATTTTTCTTTTTAATTTCCAAGCTAACCCTATCATCTGGATATCCAAATGCCTCCATCTGTGTGTCTTGTACCGTGCCAAGATCATTGCAGACACTTAACCAATAAATAATTAAAACTGACCCTTTAAAACCCCCTTTGTTAACCTCCAGATTTATGTAAGATTGTGGGAATTTTTCCTGCATGTTGTTTTACTGAATATTGGCATTTCTCTCCTACTTGATGGTGTTTGTGTTCTCTTTAGCAATAGCATGTGCAGCAATGACCACTCTGAGAAAGGGTGAGCATTATAATAGAGCACCTTTCATAAACAGGGGCAGTGTGCCCATTCCTGTGGCTGGCTGTTATAGGATGTATAATGCTAGCACTTTAGGTTTTTGTTCGTTTCAGTGCTTTATCACTTCCAGCTGTGCCCTTTGTCCCCCCCAGTATTCTTCCCCTGCAAAAGAAGCTTAAGCAGAACCTCCAATTTTTAGAGCCCTTTTTCCCTCTTCTAGTAAAGACACCATGAGATGAAATCCTGACCCTATTAAACTTAATGTAGCCTGGATTTCATCCATGATATTAAGGTACAGTCATATGCAAATATCTGCTTAGGAGGAGGAGGACTTCATTATACATTGTGGTTAATTACATTCTGTATGATTAATATTTGCAGTAGGTTACTTTCAAAGTTTTTATTGTGTTACCCCTTCATCTAAAAGTTATTTTTTCTAACTTGTCTATCTTCTGACACCATGCTGTAAAATATAGTTAATGAGGAGTGTTGTCAGATGCTACCGGTGTGGTGCTCTGCTTTCTCCGATGTTGAAATCACTCGGCTGCGTGCGTCTGTTCCCTCTGTGTGCTGCCCCAGCTTTGCGCAAATAGCTGACACAGCAGACCCGAAGAGAACCCCCAATAACCACAGAGTCTAGTAAGATGCAAAGTCACGTCGACTAGGTTTATTGCGACCTTGGACACAATTGCAGTTCCCCGTAGATTACTTAGTCTACCGGGCATACTACGAGAAAGTGCCTTTTGGCAAGGACCCGGCTCAGTGGCGGGACTTTCCACTGCCCCCGGGGCCGGACAAAGACACCATCCCAGGGATACATTCTTATACATAGGTACAAACAAGTTACACATCACTCCTGACGTATTGAGGTGCAACCCCTCTACGCAGCAAGGTACAACCCCTCTACGTAGTAAGGTGCCGCCTCTCACCTTGTACATGTTGGTTCGATCAAAACAACTCTATCCATCATTTTACCCTTTTGCCCCTGTCATTGGGATGGGTCGGCCTGTTCCATGTTATCTGTGGAATGTTCCAGTATTGGAGTGTTCTGATATCTAGTGTTCAGTACTTTTTAGGTATGTATCTTTTTGCAGCATCAGCCCTTTCCTTGCCAGCTTCTGTGAGCAGGGCCTGCCTCTGGCTCACAGCTTAACTTTGCTTTATGTTAGCAAAGTCTTGACCATTTCTTTAGTTCAGGCCTCAGGCCTCATACTGGGCCGCTGATACCAAGGTTTATATCTCAGGGCCTCCTCTTACTACAAGGAGCAGCATATGAAAGTCTTTACTACCTGACAGCTCCTTGGTGGCCTTGAAGTGAATTTGATATGTCTCAGTCCAGTTTCTGTTGAGCAATGATTGACCTGATCACAAAAACAACTGCCTCAGTTGATGCTAATTGACACCCTTGATGGCAGTTGTAAGTTCCAGTGAACATTCCCTTTAGACCATGCTTATGGAACAACCATGAAAAAGATCATCAGAGACTCCAGCCTAGGTTTTACACAAAGCTGAGGCATCCTGAGACAGAACTAGCTACATACTTAGCTACCTAACTTACCTAAGTGCCTGATTTAGGCCTTGTTTACACTACAGATGTTAAAAGCAACAGAGGGTCCTGTGGCACCTTTAAGACTAACAGAAGTATTGGGAGCATAAGCTTTCATGGGTAATGTCATAACTATAAAGGGAAGGGTAACAGCTCTCCTGTGTACAGTACTAAAATCCCTCCTGGCCAGAGACTCCAAAATCCTTTTACCTGTAAAGGGTTAAGAAGCTCGGGTAACCTGGCTGACACCTGACCCAAAGGACCAATAAGGGGACAAGATACTTTCAAATCTTGAGGGAGGGGGAAAGGCTTTTGTGT